CAACCGCCCTGGGAAAAAGTGCCCAAGCCTGGACCTCGAGCCTCGAGACAAGCTGGGACATCCGCCATGTCCCTTATCGGGCAGCTTCGGTGGGAAAGCGCTTGAGCGGCTGTCCTTATCTACAGCACACGGCGCTGGGTGTCACGTGGGCGAGCCTCTACGGGGGGCATGCCGAATCTCGGGTTTTTCGAGAAATTTGGACGATTCAGTTCTTCTGGCCGAGAGTCGGGCACCCGCCGACAAATGGTCCAGGAGCATGGCTCTATCGTTCGCCCGCCAACTAGATCAATGCTCAGTTTTTCAGCCGCCCTGAGTTCTGTTCAGAAGAAACGCTGGGTGGATAGGCTTGGGCGGCTTGGGGCTGAGTGCAGGGTTGTAAGCAGGCTACACAGCGGCCAGTTTGTCACAAGACTTCACATGGGCTTATCCGAAAAAGCTCCATGTTCGAAGGTTGCAGGCATGCCGCCAGAGTGAAGTCTGTACGAAGGCGTGCACATTGGCAGTGACCGATCCTCCAAGCAAGCCCGTCTCGGGAGCGACCACCAACTGCCCCTGGCCGTCTGGCGGAGGATCGGCGACACCTGATCGAAGCAGAAGCTTCCTATTGTTGTAAGCTACATGGCCAACTTACACTGATCCTCAGACCAAAAACCAAGTACATGCGCGAGGAACCAGCCACTGGAGCACAGCTGGCGTGCGACATCCGCAACAAGCGATGATCGCGAACCAGGCCGCTGCGATTGAGATTCCGATTTGCACGTGCCTGCATCTGCCGCCTCTTGTCGATTTCTGCCATCGACGGCGGTCTGCGGGCTCGCACCCACTCCGATGCGCCGCCAATCCTTGGGTTTGTCAGGCTGGCTTCGGGCGGCTTCGGTGTAGATTCTTGTACCGACTCCATGCACCTCTGTGCTTCCCATGCCCACGCAACCGCGGCACGTCCAGACTTCGTGGTGGCTTGCTCGAGCACTGCCATCCTGATCTGAGTTTGTTGGACTCACAATCGGCCTTGTGCAGCCTGAATGCAAACAGTCCTGGTGTTGGAACTGCTTGGAGCAACGGCAGCGCCAAATCTGACGCCTCTTGTCCTGAAGATGCAAATGCGCAGACGACTCGCACACGCATCGACACAACAGTTGTGTTTCATACAAGCTGCCCAGTATGGCTTCGTCATGCTCTCCATGCACAGCCCAATTGCCTCAGTTGATACATAGGCCACACGGCCACGGCTCAATGTTGCCATGATTGAAATGCAAACGTGCGGCGCAATGCGAAGGCGGTGTGACATATTCCGCAGCCGTTGCAGTCATGGCAGCAAATGGCACCAACGAGAGACCGGTCTGTCATGCTTGCTTCTTGTTAGATCATATGCGAAGGCCTGGTTTCTAGAATAGAAGCCTTGCCCATGCATAACTTTCCAGCAGCGACACCCATTCGAGCCGCTGGATATCCTCGAAAGTGCAGCGGATGGTTACAATCGGTAATCGCACTGCATCTTAACAAAGCTTCGCGAAACCTGTAAGTGGTGGCCCCTTTGCGGTTAATCGCTCTGACCAGGGCCCGCGGTTTAGGCCATTTCTGTTTCTGCGATTTCCCAAGCGGATGTCGGTTAGCACGCGTGCGCCACGGAACCTGGCCCTATAAAATGACACGGGCTACGTCCCTTCCGCCAACCCAGGCAATGCTATACAATGACCCGGGCAACCTTTACAGCAGCAAGCACCCGGCATCATCACGCAAGACCTTCCAAAGCTATATCCCTATAAAATGGCCCGGGCTACTTCGGCGGGCCGAATCCACGCTATAAAATGACCCTCTATGAAATGACATGAACCATTTCATAAGGGGGTTAACCCCTTCATTTCATAGGGCCGATATCGGAGCGGGCTCTACCAGGACGTCATTTCATAAGAATAATTCAACTAGCATAACCGTGGTCAAACCCGAACTTGAATTTCCCGTCCACCACGGCATTTCCAAAGAAAGCTTGATACCTCCGGAGCCAAGTGCCTGGGAAACTTAACACGTAAGTTGGACAATGAAGCAAAAAAATCGGCTCAGAAACCCTAAACCCTAATAGAGTATAGTGAGGGTAGCCGGGGTGGGTTGACAAGCGACACGAGCGCGCGCTCGGGGAAACCCGAAACCCTTGGGGTTTAGGAGTTCGGGTCGAAGGCTCCGGGCTTGGGGACTAGGCTGCTAGGACGTCAGGGCTTGGGATATCATAGAGGGGCCTTAATAATCAGAATAGGGTCTTGGGGCCCATTTTACTATAGATGTCATAAGGAAACCCCCCAAAAATAGTATAGCGAACTATAAAGGCCCCAATATTAAGGCCTGGGGTTGGGGATTTGGGGTTTTTGAGGATCGGGGTTCGGCTGGGGGGTTGGGATTTTTGGGGATTTCGGCTGTGAGGTTCCCGCAGGAGCTTTCGCTTCGCACAAGGACTTTCCCGACCCTTGAGAGACATGGTTTGGGGTCATGCACCTCAGAAGCCCCACCCGAAAGAAAGCTCTTAAATGATCCAAGAGCCATGTAGGGTCTGCAGGGTTTCAGGTGAGGGATTTAGTGTAGGGGCCTTTGCAATCAGGATAGGGTCTTAGTGCATATTATAGTATAATGATGCAGCATGCTGGATGCCCCCTGCACCTCTCCGCGCTCCGCCATCCTGCAGATGCCTGCTGCTCTACTCGGGAATGCAAACTTTGCACACAAAAGTTGCATAGAGTTTTAGGGCTACGGGATTTGGAGTTCGGGAATGGGTTTGGTGGTTAGAGGGCATTGGGGTTAGGAGTAGGGCTTCACGCTGAGGGGTCTGGGCTCAGTTGCGATTCGGAGCTGGTGCTTGTGGATGGAAGGCTGCAGGCAACTCAGCAGATAGCTTCGCATGCTTGGTACAGGGTAGAGACTTTGGAGTGTAGAGTATACCATAAGTCCGATGCGAAATTCATGCCGACGAGAACTCTGCGTCTTGCCAAGCAAAACTTCTCGACTCAACGGAAGCAAGGGGCCAGGGGCCATGAACAGAGGAGTGCAACGCGCGTCAGCCTCTCATCCCCGCGCCTTTTTGCTTCCGGGAGATCCAGCGAGCACTCCAAAGCTTCTAATCGCCAATGCTAACCGCACCGCAACTCGGAAGACGAAGATACATCAGAGGGGTAGGGCTTAGGGTTTAGGGGTTTAGGGGTTTAGGGGTTTAGGGGTTTAGGGGTTTAGGGTTTAGGGTTTAGGGCACCCTGAACCCCAAAGCCTCCACCCCAATCTGACCGGCCTTGGACATCAGCTCGCTGCGCGCAGCAGCTGCCTGCCGTCTAGGTGGCACGGACATTGGGCGAGAGTAGGGCTTGTCGCTGGGACACGGCACCATTGCCTAAGAATGTACTTTACAATAAGATAAAGTACTGGTGACACAATCTAATTTTATAGCATCTAGTACTATATACAATTCTATAAAACACAGAAAAGCAACAGTAGTCCGCACAGGCTGCTGAGTTTCAGCTGGTCCGGCAGCGACAGCTGCGGCTCCAGCAGTTGCTTTGCTTTGGAAGTAATATAGGGGTCTTAATAATAATTGGAAAAGGGTTTTGGGGCCCATTCTACTATATTATAAACTACAATAAGGAACCCCTCAGACTAGTATAGGTAATTATTTCGGCCCCTATATTACGGCCCAAGTCGATTTCAGGTTGAGCGTTTCGGCTTCGGGACTTGCGCTTGAAGGTCCTGTCGTGGGCCCTTGACGCTGCAGCTTTCGAAGCGAGCCTTTTCGGTCTAAGGTAGAAGCCAGAAAGTTGGAATTTCATTATCGTAACCCCTTTAAGGTACATTATGGGGGATCCTACCATTAATCCATATTCCAACTTTCTGGAGTTCCCTTTAAGACGGCTTTAGGAATGGCAACAGGGGGCGAGAAGTACACTAAGTGGGGCTTCCGTGCTTGTAACGCTACTTATAACCCGCTTCGCGACATACGTTGAGAGGGCCTGGTGAAGGCCAGGCACCGTCATGCTGCCAGCCGAAGGCACAAGGCAGCGTGACTGTGACGCTCGCGATTCTGGCTTTCGGAGTCAGCAGTAACGTAGGCATAAGGTCTGGCATTCAAGGGGTTGCAGCTTGCGGGAGCTAGGCTAGGCTTGGGAATTTGGGACTTGGAGCCTCGAGTAAGGCTGTGAAGCTATCAGGACATAGAGAGTCTGAGCTGCAAACAGAGTTTCCTAAGGTGGATAGTTGCCAAACACTCGAGACCGTATTCAACCGCTGCTGGACTCAAGAACGACAAGGCCCGGGACTTCTAAGACTTTGCGGCTGCTGGCGCCTACGAGCCAAGGAAGATGAAGCGACGCTTTAGGGTCCCGAGTTGAAGGAGGGGTTTAGGGTTTAGGGTTTAGGGTTTAGGTTTAGGGCTTAGGGTGTAGGGCTTCAGACATTTTCAGGCTTCGGAATTCCCGGAAAAGCCTTGAGGTGGGGGTTTGGATACGGCCTGCGCGTTTTACGCGTCTCCGCTTTGAGGTTGATCTGTAGTCGACGCTGTAGTTCCCGTTTGGGTGACGCTCTAGGATCCGAAATCGAAAACTGGCTAAACCCAAAAAAGCTACCATGGAGACCATTTATAGGTAGGGTTTGGGGTTCGTGCTTTGCTGCTCAGGGGTTCATGCAGTGTCTTGGGGACTGCTGGGGCGCTGAGACTCGGCCCAGGGAGTCTGGGGCTGCTATACGGAATACTAAAAGGAACACTTCATAGGGACCCTTAGGGGGGTAAGGGGGAGGGGGTAGGGGACCTATACTTCCTGAAATAGGCCTTATTAGGTCCTTATTATCTGCATTAAGACCCCCGACCCCTCCTCCCCCTACCCCCCTAAGGGTCCCTATGAAGTTCACTCTAAGGGATAATAGGTGGGCTGTGGTTTAGGGTTCCTGTTTTGGAGCATAGGGCGTAGGTTTCAGCCAGCCCGAAGCAACGAACCTTCTTGCACCTTGAGCTTGCTTCCTGAGCTCCTAACACAGCGCTCTGCCAGAGTTCCACCTGGGCAGCAAGATTCCCTTCAGGTTTTGTAAGGAGGACCACTCAGAACTTAGGAGCCTATGCTTAGTAGTAGTAGTAGTAGTAGTAGTAGTAGTAGTAGTAGTAGTAGTAGTAGTAGTAGTAGTAGTAGTAGTAGTAGTAGTAGTAGTAGTAGTAGTAGTAGGAGTAGGAGTAGGAGTAGGAGTAGGAGTAGGAGTAGGAGTAGGAGTAGGAGTAGGAGTAGGAGTAGGAGGAGGAGGAGGAGGAGGAGTAGTAGTAGTAGTAGTTTTTGTTGTTGTTGTAGCAGTAGTAGCAGTAGTAGCAGTCGTCGTCGTTGTTGGCAGCAGCAGCAGCAGCAACAGCAGCAGCAGCAGCAGTAGTTCGTCGTCGCAGTAGTACGTATCAGCAGCAGAAACAGAAGCAGCAGTAGCAGCCATAGCTGTTGTTGTTGCTGCTGCAGTAGCAGTGGTCAGCATAGCAGCAGCTGCAAGAGCCCATACGTAGGGCCACCAAACCCCAAACTGAACTCCTCAAACATCAAACCGACACCTTCTCCAGAGACCAGGAGGTGAAAACTCACAGAACCACCCGGAGAAGCCCCACATGCAAATCCTCCACCGGAAAGTTGCTTCGCACAAGGTCCTTAATTATTTTGATGGGGTCTTGGAGTGATGACAACCGGGGCTGTAAGGGGATACTCAGCAATGATTCCGACCCCCGTATCTACGCCACCAGGACTAAAAAGTACACGGACGCCCCTCAGAGCACCTATAATATATTGTGTTAGATTGCACAATCTTATCATCTCGCCTCATATCATATTCTATTCTGTTCTATGAAACTGTTTAGCTGTTTTATAATATGTTATAAGATGCTATGCTATGAAATGTTATATGATATGACATACTCTTTTAGATTATACTACAATGTATTCTTTCAAAGACCCGCGCGCTGATCATCAGCCATAACACAGACGGTACCCTCTTGGCCTTGGGTTTTGTTGTGTACAAGGAGCACTTCAGCACTCCAAACAGGCCCTTAAACCCTATACCTTTATAGAATCCCTATAGAATCCTTTAAAGGGACCTAACAGTTACCTTACTTGTAACCCCACTTATAAGCAGCGTTTAGGGCTTTAGGGCTTTGGAGCCTGGTCCTCGCCAAGCTCGCCTTTCGAAGACCTCGCTTCTCGCGCGCAACTCTGGGGAAAGACCCGGGGAGGCACTCTAAGGGCCTAGATCATTACCAGTAACGGGCTCCTTAAAGGGGTCTATAAGGGATCTATGGTAGGGTTCTAGGATATAGGAGCCTAGATGGTTACCAAGACTATTTTGGTGGCTCCTTCTTATAGTTATAGTATAGTGGGCCCCAAAACCCTATTCTAAGCCCCTGTAGTAGACAACCAGGGTTGAGAGACTCGACTACAGCAACAGCACTACTTAAGAAAACATTGGATTAAGAAAATGAGACTCTGGATTTTGCGATTGATAGGGTTCTACATAAAATACCAAGCAATGTTAAAATAAGAAAACCATGGTACCCTCGTCCGCGAGTCTTATTTCCTTATTTCGTTCTGTCATACTAGTGCGCGTAAACTTGGCCTGTGCTGTATGAGGGGTTCCATACATCAGGGGCCTTTGCCTGACATCCTAGCCCTAGTACTTGGGGTGTCCTAGGCACTTCGTGCCTTGACCCTGCTGAAGTTTCCCCTCCAAGGCTTCCAAGCACGGCTTTCAGGGATCTTGGGCATCCTCGTGGTCTTTAGCTGGGTTCTGGAACGAAGGAGAATAAGAAAATGCGAGAGTCTCGTTTTCTTATTTTGGTTGGTTCTGGAACGAAGGAGAATAAGAAAATGCCAGAGTCTCGTGTTCTTATTTAGGTGGGTTCTGGAACGAAGGAGAATAAGAAAATGCCAGAGTCTCGTTTTCTTATTTAGGTGGGTTCTGGAACGAAGGAGAATAAGAAAATGCCAGTGTCTCGTTTTCTTATTTAGGTGGGTTCTGGAACGGGCCCTGGACATAGCCATATAAGAAAACGGCCTTAAGAAAACCAGACTACCCTGACCCATCCCAGATTAAATATTCCCATAAAACCAGCCGCTATCAAAATAAGAAAACCAGACCACCCTCGTACCAGAAAGTATTTTCTTATACAGCGCTCCCGCTGTAGCAGTGAAGCCCCTGCATCTCTCAACCCCCCTAAACCCGGAAGGAACTGCAATTCGCTTCGATCTCATGCACGGCTTAAGGCTTGCTTGATCTAGCAAAAGAAGCACATCTGCGAAACCCTGCTGTCACATTCACCTTCACACTTAACGCAAGACAAAAGCAAACAATGACCTCATTCCCGCTCATCTGTCGCAAAACTATACTTTACGGGCCTGAACAATCAGCGCAATGTGTTGGACATATTATGCTGCAAGGAGATACCATGACGAATTATGTTCTACTACAAGGATCAACTCGTATTACCAGAATTATCATCGTCGACAAGGAGATCCTATTCCTAATGATGCAAATCCCTGTACCCTCGGGCAACTCCCTCAACTTCTTACGATGCTGCTCTGGAAACACCCTTTCTCAAAATCTCCGAAAGGGGTAAGAGGGATCAGGAGGATTCGCGTTTAGATTATGGTGGTCAGGGCAGGGCAAAGGAAATTATGGAACTTCTATCACTCCACATTCCACCAATCCCCAAACCCTTCATCTCTGAAGCCTGTGTCCCGAATGCCTGAACCCCCAGCGCCCGTCTTGGCTACCAGCTTGGAGAGTGCAGATAGCTTCTGGCTCAGCTCCTGGAAAAGACATATCTGCAAGGACGCAAAGTTTCAGACCTGGGGTTGGATGCTGTGTCTCTGCACCAATGGCCTTGCTGTGTGTCGCATGTAACATTTTCTCACGGCTGCTCCGTCAACAAACAGGATAACCCCACCCCCAGAAGTTTACGAGGGCACCAAGTGTGCACTACGAGGCATATACACGTGCTCATGAGACCCCAGGCTTCAAAGATGTGGGAGTTTCCAAAAACAGGGGACCCCAATACAATACGCCGAAAATAAGGTACCCCCAATGTTCGGAAACTCCCATGTATCACCGTTGAAGATGGCCTAGACAAATTACTTCCTGCATTTCTTCTCTCACGGACAACTTTTCTTCCTTCCTGACACGAGTACAAGTAGAACTCTTCGCTTGTGGTTGTGCGACTTTTCCTGTCATCAGCACTACCTCTGGTCGAGCCAGCATGCTCGGGCTTAGTGCACAGTTGGAATTGGCGTGAGGGCCTCATCTAAACTTGCGTTCGGGCTACCGTGCGACGGCCTTTCTAGCTTCGGGCTTTGAATTTAGGCCTCGCTCTTTGCAGCTTTGATAGTTTGGAAGTTTACGTTTACTGAAAGCTGTCGGAGGATTTAATCAACAGGCCTGTGAGTCGGGCTACAGTCTACTGAGTTCGGTCATGCACTTTGAACATAGATGCAACTTAGCCAGGTTCACTCTGGGCCTCAAGATCACCCAAAACCCTAGATAATCCAAAATCCCTCGACGGGTCAAAGATAATGCTAAGATCCCTGAACCCGAAGCAACCTGTAGCAGCCCACAGAGCAAACCCCTCCAAAAGACCACAAAACCCTTTAAGCCCCTCGAAGCAGAAGCTCCAAAGGCACCTCCTGGGTGGCACCAGCTGCACAGCTCTGGAGCAGGTCGCGCGCACCCTCAGGCCTAGGAGCAGCAACCCTGGATCTGCTTGGAGGTTCATAGTGCAACTATAAGTACCTCAATTAATAGTGTTATAATAAAGCATAATGATAGCTACCTTGTTTAAGACCCTGGTTACTAAGTCCCATGCACCTTGAAGTAGGGTTTAGGGCTTTTAGGAACAAGCCTAGGGTCCCCCATGAGTGAGTGGAAAGGGTCCAACTGCCGGTGACGATCAGGGCTGCTGAAAGGGTTTCATATAAGGGCCTTGTTAAGTAGAATAAGGGTTTTGGGTATACGTATACCTTTTGAGGGACCCTCTGGACTCCACTGTGGAATTTTAACAACTTTTCGTCCTGTGCAGGCCTTCGGGTTTGGTGTTGGGCTTTAGGGTTTGAGGCTCTCTTTGCCATAATGTAGGGTACCATCGAAACACCCTCCAAGGGCTACCAAACGACTCCAGATTGAAAACAACAACATATATATATATATATATATACGAAACAACAACAATGACAGAATACATGTTGTAAAAAGCATGAATACAGTAGTACTAATGCTAATGCTCATACTAATATTAATGCTTATACTAATACTGATACTAACAAAGGTTGCCACTTATTCTAAACAATACGAACCAAGAAAAAAACAGGAACAGGAATAATAATAATAATAATACTAATAATAATAATAGAAAAGAACAAGAAAATAATAAAGACCAAAGTATGAACATTAACATGAACAAGACTAAGAATAACAATAAAAGTATGAACATAACCATGAACAATAGTAAGAACCAGAAAACATCAACCATAATAACCTACTAATAATGATGACGCTTCAGACTCAAGGTGGAGCAACTATTGACTTTACATCCCGATCAGGACAACTTAAGCTGAATTCCTCATCAAGTACCGGGTCACTAGATACCTGGGGGGCTCGGGGAGGCCTTGCAAAATGAGTTCATGAGCCCCAAACCTGAGGCCGAGCCCCGTAAATCCCAGGCCCAGGCCCAACACCCTGAGCCCCCAAAGACCCGAAGTCGTCAGGAGGACGGCAGAACCCTGGAAATCATCAGAAAACCTGTAGAGCACAGGCGTCCGGGCATGCGGGTCGGCATCACGACCTGACGGAACTGTATCACAGCTTCGTTGTGCTTGTCTTGTTCGTCTCACCTCGCAGTCGCAGTCACGGTACCTTTGTAATGACGATCAGGTGCATCATGAAGCCTGCAAGTGTCCCCCCTCCAAAAAAATACTTTCTGGTCCTAACCGCAGAACCTGAGTGGTGATTTCAGGTCTTACGATTCGAGATCAAAGGAAAAGGAAACGGTAGAGAACCTCGGGCTTCAGGGTTCTGGGTTTTACACTGTGCTTCTCTCGAACCTAACCACGAATCCTCAGACTGTGTATACATACATACATCCATACATACATACGGACATACATACATACATGGTATGTATGTATGCATGCATGTATGTACGCATGTATGTCAACATATGTATGTATATATGCGCTTCGGTATAAATATGTATAGAGAGAGAGAGAGCTGCTATTAGATGTATACACACAAATATACACATGTATATGTATGTGTGTATACATATACATACATACATACATACATACATGTTTGTGTGTCTGAACAATCAGAAATACTGTCCTCTTACAGCCCTTGCATAACCAACACTCTATTCTATGTAATTACACAGGTCCCCATATTCAACGGTTCTGATAGCCATTGTAGTAACCCTTACTCATGCACGGATATGACGGAATTCAGAGCCTGATCTGCGAAGCGCCGGCCGTTGCAAGGCGTGGCCACGCATCGGCCACGGCTGAGAGGCCTCTGCAATTGTGCGGCAGGGTTTTTGTTTTCTTGAACCCTGGTGTTTTTTCGCCTCGTGGCATCCAGACTACCGTACCGGTTGAGGGAGTGGGGAACATACACAAAGGATTCAACCACCACACCACTATGCCCATGTACTACTACTGCTCAGTTTGTGTTCCCTCACGGTGGAGCAGGTACGGCACACTCGCCTTCCCAACTCATTCAAAGCACCTATACTAAAGGTTGCACAGAGCAATCGATCCAAGTTTCCGCCCTGCCCAAGCCCTATGACTCGTCCTGCGCAGCCAGTCTGCACTGCAACTAGACCGAGAATCATCAGGCTCTGATAACACTTACACAAGTGCGGCAGGGTTTACGTTCTAGGCTCGCCTGGGGAGCTGGTGTGCCTCGACCCCACGAGAGATGCGAGCCGAAGTCATCTGCAGAGTGCAGGTCCTTTGTACGTCTCAGGAGCTGAATGCTCCAAAGGCCCCTGAGGCTCCTTCCGTTTTGGGCCACGAGCATTCGAGGCTTCTGCTGAGCCACACGGCAATTAAGGCTACCATATTTAGTATTACGATCATCTTATTGTTGTTATGATTACGATTAGTATTTCTCTTGTTCTTACTGTTATGATTACTAATTCAAGTCGCACAGGAAGGCCCCAAACCCAAAGCCCTACGCCCGAAGACCCCCTGACCTGCTCCCTCAAAATTCTTAGGGGCTGAGTACCCTAATCCAAAACAAACTTCACCTTTTCACTCGTGCGTAGAGGATTCTATAAGCCTAAGCCTAAAACCAAAACCCGAAAGAGCTAAAGGTTACCTGCTCAGCTACTACTTGGAGGATCATGGGACTTAGTAAGTAAGGTTATAAGTACCCTAATTGGAGTTATAAGTTTAGTTACTTTAGTTACCTTATTTATAACCCTAGCTACTAAGTCCCATGATCCTCCAAGTATGAACCACAGGGCTTGCGCCTCGCCCGAGTCGCCTTCATCCCGGGAGGCTATGAATTCGAGCTCGGCGCTGCGGAAGCCGCGGCTTCGTAGGGTAGGTAAGAGCTTTTTGGGCTTTAAGGATTTTTTCGGGGGTCCAGGGGGTTTAGGGCTTAGGGCGTAGAGAAATTACGGGGTTTGGGGCTGTAGGGATTTTGGGGGTCCAGGGGTTTAGGGGCTTAGGGCTTAGAGAAATTATTGGGTTTGGGGCTTTACGGATTCTGGGCTTTGGCCAACCCTAAACTCAAAACCCTGAAATGAAACCCCAATCCACACCTCGAGCAGGTTCAGGATTTAGGGCTTAAGGTTTGGGGTGTAGCGCATTCTGTCACAACCAGATGTCTACATGGAGGATCATGGGACTTAGTAACTAGAGTTATAAATAAGGTAACTATACTTATAACTCCGATTAGTGTACTTATAACCTTACTTACTAAGTCCCATGATCCTCCAAGTAGAGTGTTCGCCCGGAACCCTACAGAAAGGGCTGCACCCAAATGTGATGTCTTCTGGACTTTGCATTCAGCACTTGCGGATCTGGACAGGATGAAGCAGGGTTTCTGCTTCTACTAAAAGCTACCTGCTTGGGCGTCATATCGACGACAATACCGGTAAGAGTCGCTATCATCATCATCATCATCATCATCATCATCATCCTTGATGTCATCGCATCATCAGCACGACCGTTATCACGAGACATACCGGTTACACACTGCCCGAGATAAAGCGCCAGACTCGATGGCTGATCCTCACTGTAGCTCAAACAATACTGTAACATGGAGCATGACGACCGTAAGCCCAGAAATTAACCATACAGCACCATAAAAGCTAGACCCGAACACTCACTCGCAGGTCACCGTCACCCAGCTGGGTGGTTGTCAAAATTAGGGTCACTTTTTGGGGCACCCAAAATATTAGGTGCCGTATTATAATAAGGACCCAAAAAGGGACCCTGATTTTGACAACCACCCAGCTCGATTTCTGCAGATCCTCAGTCGGTGGCTGTACTGCGCTGAGGCGATCTGACTGCAGCAGCGAACTTCGGGAGCAAAGTGCTCTTAAGTGGTAATTTGCCAGTACTTGGGATTCAGAGTTCTGGGGCGTTGGGATCCGCATGTCTTCCCTGCCCCCTTTGATCGCTTGGCTGCTCTGTCCGAAGGCTTCGGCCGCGAAGTGATGCTGTCACTTGCTGGGCCTCGCTTTCACTCTCAGGGCATCGGCTGCGAGCGGGGGATACCTAAGACAGCTTCGATGCCTTAAGGTCTCGGCTCGGGTTCGCTGGCTCTGACAAGATAAGAACTGCTCAGAAGAGGCCCCTCTCACAGCCGCGATTGCGAAGCTGGCGGTGCTGGACGGATGTGCACGAGCAAACCTTACAAAACCCGAGACCTGTAGTATTAGTTCGCCTCTTCATGGTCTATATTTGTAGCACTAGTAGTAGTAGTAGTAGTAGTAGTAGTAGTAGTAGTAGTAGCAGTAGTAGTAGTAGTAGTAGTAGTAGCAGTAGTAGTAGTAGTAGTAGTAGCAGTAGTAGTAGTAGTAGTAGTAGTAGTAGTATAGTAGTAGTAGTAGTAAGTGGTAGTGGTAGTGGTAGTGGTAGTGGTAGTGGTAGTGGTAGTGGTAGTGGTAGTGGTAGTAGTAGTAGTAGTAGTAGTAGTAGTAGTAGTAGTAGTAGTAGTAGGAGTAGTAGTAGTAGTAGTAGTTCAACATGAGTAATCCGTGTGGGACGCCACGAGACGGATACTCCGGGTGGCGGCTTCCTCTGAGGTACGGCCTATTTGTTGAGACAGGTGCACAGATGGACGCGTCTGTTCACACCAAGGTGTCGGAGAAGGAAGCTTTTTGTAGCAGTAGCAGTTGCAGTAGTATGTCAAGTTCGAGCTGATTAGAGAGACCTGAGCGATGCATGCTAGAAGCAGTTTCACGAGTGCATGAGACCAAAGGCGCCCGCAAAGCGCAGAGCACGCTCGCGCAGCGTTCAATTGAAAATAGTAGTAGTAGTAGTAGTGGTAGTGGTAGTGGTAGTGGTAGTGGTAGTGGTAGTGGTAGTGGTCGTGGCAGTGGTAGTAGTAGAAGTAGTAGTAGTAGTAGTAGTAGTAGTAGTAGAAGTAGTAGTATTAGCAGCAGCAGTAGTATAGCAGCAGTAGCCGCCGTAGCAGCAGTAGCCGCCGTAGTAGCAGCAGCAGCAAGAGGAGTGGGAGCGGCCGTGGCCGTGGCCAAGGCGTCGCAGCAGCAGCAGCAGCAGCAGCAGTAGGAGAAATAGTAGGAGGAGGAGGAGGCGGCGGAGTAGTTGTTGTGGAAGCAACAGCAGCAGCAGCAGCACTAGAGTATTGGCTTTAATGGAAACATCCCATTGATGGCCGTAGCTGCGCGTAGTTTTCGGGGCTCAGCGGACGTGAGTGTTGGTGCGACGACGTGAAGACGCGAAGCCGTGACGGCGTTGACAGCGTCAACGGCGCCAACGGTGTCAGCGGCGCCATTTGAGTCAACGGCGTCACCGCATCAACAGCGGTAATCGGCCGACTCGCGCCGGTAGGTACAACAGATAGCCAGCTAGGTGGGTATAGGTAGGTAGGTTAATAATATTTGAATATTAAGTCATCTTATTACTAGTACCATGACTTTTTATTGTCAATGCCGCTACGATTACTACGATTACTTGAATACTGCTTTTGTTTTATACAACTTTATTACCCTAACAGACTTGAGCGCTAAGGAGCTGGGGGTATACTTGGGGTATACTTGACAAGTTGCATTTGATATTGATTTAACAGGGTTACGTGAATAAACAAGTGGCAGCGCTTGGTATTTACATTTATGTGTATGCATATGTACATGTATGTATATGTACATGTATATGGATATGCGATATGCCTATGCAGCATTGGTATTCGTATGGGTTTTTGCTGTTTCTATTCGTATGCGTAGCATCATGAGTATTAGTATTTCCCTTGCCGGCAGCCCGCCAAACCTTAAGTTTCCGTCCCAGCTCTGTTCCGAATCGTCCTATCACGGGAGATTCAATAAACAGACATGGCGCGTTCAGCGTTTAGGGTGCAATTTTAAAATTTTGGAGTCTGCGATACGACTTATGTGCACACCGCTTGCCGCCACCAGCTGCTCTAAGCCTCTCCGTGCCGCCTGGGATCGGATAGGAAGCTCAGACATCGACATTCAAAAAACGAACGGAAACCCAGGGCACCGAGGTGCACAATGCGACGATCTGGATGGTTTCTTGAGGTTTACATGAAGGGGGGGCGGTATTTTTGGGTCCTTGTAGTAAGGCCTACTATTGAGGGCGACAGCACGCTGCCGCTTCCGTTGCCACTTAGCGGTGTGATGGTTGTGAAGGGAGATGGTGCGGTCCTTGCTACTGTTTATACTACCACCCACCACCATAAATGTGACCATTAGCACCACAACTGGAACTACCACTACGATTATATGACTCCTCCTACTACTAATTACGACTACTACGACTACTGCTGCGACTACCATCACCACACCACTACCACCTCCGCCACTACCAGTATCACTAGTCCCACGACCAATGTAGGCGCCTCAATAATTAGAATAAGGTTTCGGGGGTTCCTAAACCCTATTCTAACTAAAACGGCCCCAACATTAGCACTGCAAACCACTACCGGCGCTGCCGAGACTGAACGTTGCAGGCTGCAGCTCTTCCAGCTCTTCCTGCTCCTTCTCCTGACATATAGGGGGCCTTAATGATTCGATCAGGGTCCCTTTTAAAGGCATCCTTAACGGGATCTACGGCAGTGTTTTAGAGTGTATGGACCTGAATCATGAGAATAGGGTTTGGGGCCCATTCATTATACTGCAACTATGATAAAGAGCCAGCAAAATAGTCTGGTAATTATTTAAATCCCTTGAGAACACCACCAGAACCACGGCGACTCACGCTGCTTGCTATCAGTACTAACGGTCCTTTCATTCCATGGATATTCGCGCAACCACTCTGATATGCCGACTACTCATAGGTTTTGAAAAGACACTCGGCTTGATGGTAATGACCGCCGTCTTTCCATGACTACAAAGACTCGGCCAACACCCGTGACCCTTAACAACCACCCTGAACCGAAAACCCATCAACGGAAAGTCTAGGATTTTTTCAGTTGGGGGCGTCGGTGCCCTGGCCTCTCTGCTGCAAGGGGCACGGTTTGACGAAACCGGGACCTGCAATCAGAGAAGTGGTGGAGACCTGGTTGTATTGCTAGCCTCCGGAAGGAGAGAACAAGATACGCAAAACGACCCGTTGAAGCGTGGAAACCCAGTATGTGTGCAGTTGAGTATATACGGTTCGTTCTACATACACACCCCGCGCGCAGATCATTTGCATTCCGAACTCTATCTTCCCGCAGCCCAGAGAAGAGCAAATCTCTCAATCCGGCAAGGACAGCAAAGGTCTGCAGCCATGCAATGGGAGAATCGCGTTCGCCGAACACTTGGCTCCTTCTTCTCCCTAACTGAAAGATCGAATTATGTGCACTAATTTTGGGAGCTCCTGGCTTTACACGGCTGAGGCCTCGGACCCTTGGGCTTTTGAGTGCTCCGGCGACAGGAGTTCCAAGCAGGCTCGTGCAACATCGCAAATTTCACTCCCTCGCCGGCGCGGCAGCGCGCAGCGCGCAGTGCTGCCGGGAGGGGGGTTGGCCTTCCGAAAGCCGGGAAGCCTTTAGATCTGCCAGCTGCCCCTGTGCAGGCGGCGCTGGATGCAGGACACAGGATCTGCCTGCAGACTGGAAATGAAGATTTCAAGCGGATGATCTGAAACTGGACAAGAAAGGCCCCTCGTCCGTCGGGCTGCACGCGTTGATAGTATCCCCATAACGACACCTAAATGCGCTCTCCACAGCCCCAATGAAATCCTATCTTGTGTCACATCCGCGCACATCTTGAAACTAAGAACCCTAAAACCTGAATCCCAAACCCTACATCTTCAACCCTAAACCCTGAAACCCCATAAAGCTGAGGGCCAAAAGGT